ATATATATATATATACATACATATATATATATATATACACGTATATATACGTATATATATATATGTGTGTGTACACATATATGTGTGCGTGTGTGTGTGTGTGTGTACCTGTGGCGGGCTGCTGAACGGGCTGGACTGACCCGACAGCGGCTCACTGGCGGCGTCCCGCTGTGACGGCGCCGTGCGGTGGTGGCCCCCCCCACCGGAGGAGGGGGCGGGGCTTGCTGGGGCCATGCGCTCGTCGTCGGTTTGGACCAGGCTCAGGGAGATGGCCTGCCTCGTGGCGTAGGTGCAGTTTGGCAGCGGCGAGTTTTTGGGGATCTTCACTTTGTCGTCGGACGAGAACTCGATGACCTTGCGACCCGGGTACAGCGGGTGGGGGGGCGGCGGCACCGGATACGGGTTCAGCTTGTCGAAGGACGGAGCCCCGCCCCCCTCCTCGCCCCCCGACTGCCCATCTAGACTGCTCTGACTGAGACAGGAACCGTTCTGCTGCGCCGCCTCCCGACCGCCGCTCGGGGGGCCGGTCATGTCCACGTGCACGAACACGTCCTCGGAGACGGGCCGGCTGCAGCTGCTGGACTGAGCAGAGTTCAGGACCAGCGGCTCAGGTTTCTCCAGGACTCGGGCGATGACCGAGGTCGGCACCACGTCGGCGGGAGTCAAACTGAGGGTTTCGGGGTCCTGAGCACCGGGGGCAGGGCCTTGCTCCGGAAGACTCGTCTTCATGTGTTTGTTCAGCATGTCCTGAAGCTCAGAAGGGAGCTGGAACACAGAGACCACATCAGAACTCATCAGACCTCCTCCCTGACTTCCTCCCCGAACTCCTCCCCGACTCCCTCCTCGGCTTCCTCCCCGCCTCCCTCTCCGAACTCCTACCAAACCTCCTCCTTAAACTCCGCCCCAACCTCCTCCCTAAACACACACTCAGTTACTCACATCAGCAAACTTGTGGTTCCTGAAATGTGATTTGTTACATTTGAGCAGCTGGACGGCCAGATTACAGTCCTGTCTGTAGCGCTCCTGAGGAAGAGGTAGAAGAAGAGGAAGATGAAAGGCCGTCAGACAATCAGAGCAGAGTGAGGGTATCAGAGTATCTGGACTCATACCACAGTAGTACTAGTATCAGAGTACTTAGACTAATACTACAGTAGTACTAGTATCATAGTACTTGGACTCATACCACAGTAGTACTAGTATCAGAGTATCTGGACTCATACCACAGTAGTACTAGTATCAGAGTATTAGTAGTACAAATATCAGTTTACTTGTACTCACGTTGAGCTCCTCCAGACGGTCGATGGTGTTCTTGGCGTCCAGAAGCTTGTTGGTGAGCTCCACGATCTCCTGGTCCATCGTCTTTTTGTCCCTCTCCACCTTCCGTAGCTATGGGAGGAGCATAGACATGACATCATCAACTGTCATCAGAGTGAGGCAGCCAATCAGGAGCCTGAGGTGACAGGACGCGGGCCTACATTCAGACAAACTGGGAACGTCAAAATCATTATTAGTTTTATATAATTTTTTTTAAAATTACAAATATAATAAAAATCAGTATTTTAATATTCATCCTTTCTAAATTAATAATTCTGCAATAACATCAATTAACTAATAATGATCCAATAATACACATTAATTAATAATAATACAATAATATTAATACATTAATAATACAATATACATTATTAACAATACAATAATATTAATACATTAATAATAATACAATATACATTATTAACAATACAATAATATTAATACATTAATAATAATACAATATACATTATTAATAATACAATAATAATTAATTAATAATACAATAATATAAATAATGTTAAATAAATATAAAATCAGTTGAATCAGATCAATGTTTGGTAGCTTCAGACAGAAACACCACAGAAGAAGAAGAGTTAGGAAGAGGAGGAGGAAGAACATGAATAAACCCAACTGCATGAACCCAAGTCTGACTGACAGCAGCCTGATGAAGAGGATGAAGATGATGAAGAGGATGAAGATGAGTCGGTCCATCACAGAGCAGCATGAAGGAAGAGGAGACAAAGAGGAGACAGAAGATGAAAGGACATCACAACGAGACATTTCATTAAATCAGACAATCTGATTGGACAGAGAGACGCCTTGTAGGAGTGACATCATCGCGTAGGAGACGGAAGACGGACAGAAAAGAGGAGAGGAGACAGAGCGTATTTTAATTTAGTCATTGATCAGTGAGTGTGATCAATAAACACACACACACACACACACACACACACACACACACACACACACACACA